AGAATGTTCGACGCGCGCACGCCCGGAGTTGCAACGGCTGCCGACGCGGTGCCACCGCAATCGGGTTCGCGAGAGCGTCCATCACGGTCGACGGCATCCGGCGGTCTGACATACGACGATGTGGCACCTTCCACACTCTCGGCCTCACAACAATCAGCGAAGGGTCTGAGTAAAGGCTCCGTGACGCTTGAAGAGCATGCTCCGTCCGGAACTGCGACTGGGACGGCAGCCGCAGTCGTCTGCCCTTTGTTCCAAGCTTTCCGACGCTTGCCGTACTTGTGGACGCTCCGGAACTTTTTTTGCGACAACATAGCACCGCAGTATGAGCAAGCACTCAGAAGAGACCACCGATGTAAACAAAGCTTGGTAAAAAAAGCACGCGAACTATCACAAAAACAGCAAACTGGCAAAAAACGAAGCGCACGCCGGATGATTCTCGACACGGCGGCCGCAGATGCGCTCGCGCTTCCAAGGTTGCCAAGGTGCGCGGCGCAGCTTTGACCAGTAAGAGGTCGCGCCTGCTACCACGTGACCCGCGCAGCCAATTGCCGTTCTTCGTTTTTGTTTTTTTACTTGCTCCTCGTGCTTTTATTTTCACTCGGCGAAATACGAGACCGCGACCATCGGGAAGCCGGCTTTCTCCTCTTTCCAAAGCTACCAAAATGGCGGCCCACGGTCAACAACTTGGCGCGTTTGTGCGGCGTAAACAACACCGTTTCAGGGGCTTTTTTTTCGCACTTTTCGGCGACTAGCCTCGGCAAAAACACTATTTGCGGGATTTGTAGCGCACGTTTCGCTGTAATATTTTAGAACAAGGAAGTTGAAGGTCTGAAGATTACGAAAAAAAATAAATCAGAAAATCGCATATTTTGACCAAAATCGGCACTTTACTTGCCGCGCCCCCCCTTAAGGGGGGATGCTACACCTTCCAAAAACTCTTATTTTTGCGAGTACCTCAGTCAAATTTGGAGAGCCTATGTAGATTTTACTGCTGATTTCAAAAATCTAATTTTTTTTTGCTGTGACAATTAGTTTTAAAGATATAATGAACTGCGACTTTTTCAATTAAGGCCTAATTAGCTAATTAACTGTAACTTGGATATTGATGTGCAACCTATAGAACCAATTCGGTATGTTCACAGTGTGCAATAAAGTATAAATCATTGTTCTGGGCTATTTCGAAGCAAAGTTGTGGGATGTTGAATATAACATGAAAAATTTCCCCATCTACACTTGAAACAAAAGATCCATTTAGAGAATTTTCTCCAAAAATTATTACAATAAAACTTACTTTACGACACATCCCCTGCATTTATCTTCGAAACAAAAAAGAAATCGTAATGATAACCCAGATAGAACAAGAGATATTGCTCCGGCATAATGGGAAGCACATGAAAATTGTCGTTTTGAGAAATCAAGAAAAAACGTGGGCACACATTTTTATTGCAGAAGATGCAACAAGACAACCTCAAAACGCACCAGAAGCATAGTCTGAATGCATTCTGTGCTCATGCCTCCTCTTCACTAGCTTCCGGAGTTCCAATGAGGCTGTTCTTTTCTTGTTGGAGACAATGCTGCGACGGTGGTCTTTTTCTCTCGCTCTCCTGGCACCAGTACTTGTCGCATTCATGTCCATTTCACCTAAGATTGCCGTTGCAGAATTCAAATTGCCCGTGTTGAAGCGCAGCACTGCTTCTGCAACAGCTGCTTCAACAGCGAACAGGGACACATGGTGCTTCTTGGGGGCCAAACTCCAGATTACCGAATGTAGGCTCTCGTTGGAGTTCTGCGTTTTGCCGCGTTCGCACCTCTGAAGCAGGGCTCTTTCCGAAAGCCGGGTATAAACCGGTTGTAATGCTTCTGCCACGTCTTTCGGTAGATTGTAGGCATGCCTGGGGTCGGGCTCACCCTTTGCTTTTGCGGCATTGTGCCGACACCATGAAGTTTCACCAGCTGGGCACAGACTGTGGTCCGAGCATTCATCAGCGGAGGTGACGTGGCGGTATGTGGCCATCACAGCCTTTTGCATCTCGCCCACGTCACCTTCATGCGATTTCAGAGCCCGGCCATAATATGTGCTCAGCTTGGTGATCAGCTGACCTGTGAGCCTGCCTTTCCCACCAAGGCCTCTTTTCCCATCGCACTTTTGTTTCTGCACCAGGTTTCTCAATGAGGTGCCCATCCGTTTCTGTACATGATTAATACAGTCTTCCTTCTGCACGTCAATGTAACCATACACCTTGGCGTCTTGTATGGCGCAAAATGTCCTAGAGTCTCCATCAGACAGCATAGTTGTGTAGCGCAGGCCATGGCGTTCAAGCGACCTCTGAAATAGAATTAGAGCCGCCTCCACTTCCATTTGCCCCGCTTTGCTGTTCGTATTTTTTTGGCATTTGTGGTTAGCCTTCCATTCTTGATAGCCCTCACTACTAGGCTTTGGGCCCACCTCGCAGCCTAGGCAAAAGTTGGAAATAACGACGTAGTCCAACACGTAGCCACTAAATAATTCGATAACTGTGCCCACGCCGATGTGGGAAGAATGGCCTCGCGTCTTCCACGTGCCGTCGTAGCTAACGGCAATATTGCCCCGGTGGCCGAAGCACAAGTCATCATAAATTGTTCTAACCTTTTCCGCACATTCGCTCATAGCGGACTCAGCCGCTCGCGTTGCAGCGGGTGCCAGCGTGTTCTTCAAATGCCGCTGAAACGTCTTGTGGTGCATCCCGTGGTGTGAGATGCCCATTGTTGCGAAAATATCGTTCATTTTCGTTTGGCCGTTGCCGGTAGCCACCATCGCCCTCGAAGCGAGAAGATTTACTTCAAGCGGATTGCACGTTTTCGTGCCGTTCGCGCGGGACGAAGTCCATTCATTCGCGATCTCGCCGCACCTTTCACACTGCACTAGCGCTTTCATGGCAAGTCCGTAGTCCCGATCCCCTCTGACGATCGTAGCCGGTCCGTGGCAGGCTTTGCAACACAAGGCACCCATTATCGCGTTTAGGATATCTAGATGCATAAGCAGATAAGGAGCAGCGTGGTCCGAGTCCTGTGCGGTTGCCTCGCTACAACTCGCGGTGAAAAAGTCAATTTTCCGTGCAGTTGCTGGCGCCGATGAAAGCCGGTCGAGCGTCGCTTTCTCCCGGGCATGATTTTCTTCAACTTCGGCGTTTGTCACCACCTTGGCGTCGATTCGTAGTCGTCCGGAGTTCGCTTCACCGTCATCGTCGTCGGAGGCAACGCGCTCGGTCGCACCATCGCTGAACGGCCGCGGAGCGTCGTCACATCGTTCGTCGGAGTCAACCAAGGGCTCTGATGACTTCGTAGACTTTCTCCCACGACCTTTGCGTTTCCTGCGACCAAATGCGTGCACGGTCCGATACTTTTTTGCGTTTCCAGGTATGGCGATACGATCAGAAGCTTCAGAGTGCTCTGCCGATTTCGAGGCGTCACAGCGGTAACCCTTTCAAAATGGCGTCGGGTCGCGTATGCAGGCGCAAGCCGCGAGCTTCCAGCCAACCGGAAAGCACCATTTCAGTCACGTGCGCCGTTTAGCCAATGGCAGTGAGCGCGGCTCTTCGTCTTTGAGGCCCCGTTTTTCGAGCCGGGGAAATGCTCAATGTTGCTTACTGAATAAAAATACAGCTGAAAACACGTTCTTTCAAACAAGACCAAAATGGCGCCAATCGAGCGCGTAGTGCCCGCGTATCGTAGAGCCGAAACCTGCGCTATTCGCCCTCAATTTAAAGGGCAGGACGCCCGTTTTCGGTTTTTTAAAGTTGAATAACGATAAAAGTTGATGGTATTCGGCTATGAAATTTTGTAAATAGGTGCGCAATGATGTCGGGAACGCGAAAAGAAGGTCCGCGAAAACTCGATTTTTTGGCTGATTTTCGGTCCCGAAGTGCCGCGTCCCCCCTTAAGGAAAGACACTGTACTTGAGACAAAATGCCAGACATTTTCATGTGTTTATAAAGAAAATTCACAGTGTGATTGAGTTTTTGATGCTGATTTCAAAAATGTAATAACTGTTTCTCTAAACCAATTAGCTTTTGAGATATCCTGAAATTAATTACCTATTGTTTGCCGGTATAATTGCACACGAAATTTGTATTGCAGCGCTACAACTGGCACATGCATGTGTACTAATGAACATAAGCTACACAACGGTAGGTTTTTATTTGATAATTTTAGCAAGGTTTGTCGCACCTTGCATGCCGACTAGGCCGCTTATCAGTTCGGTGGCTGCTATGTGCGGCGAATGTGTGCACGTAATCCGCGATCCGTCGTACAATAAAGCGGTTTTCCGGTTTGTCCAGACTGAGTTGTTGATGTCGCAGACCGAACTCGTGCACTCTCCAAGAGCAGCGAAGTGTTAGTTTCCTTTTCACTTAAGATTGCCACATGTTCGAGTGGAGGCCGCGGCGCAATATGTTCATCGTTGCGAACGCGTCGTTACAAGCACTCAACCTATTGCCAGTAGCCTTCATTGTGCTGGCGGCGAGCACGTTCACCGTAAATAAATTGATTTCTGTTTGCCGACGCGCAGCGAACTCCACTTTTACGGCCGACCCGTCACGCAGTTCACGTCAGGAGGGGGGAGGGGGGACCTGAGGCATGGGCACGCTTAGTGATAAGACTGTGCTTTTGTTCCATCCCATCGTTGCAAAGATTGCTATCTCTCGTAGGTTCACTTCTGCTTTTTTACTTGCCATCTTGTAACTGTTGAAGCTCCAAAACACTGCGGCCACAGCCACAGCGACGTTGACGACAACCGACGGGCTTGTACGTGAGTTAGGCCTACAACGGTGACTCGGCGACCGCCGTTAACGCCGTGAGTTTGCTATCCTCCCTATCCTGAGTGATAGCGGGGCTCTTTCTGAAGTTCAAAGCGAACAAACGATCACCACACCCGCTTCACAAATTAGTACGGTGAGGAACCTCTTTACTGCTGCAGGCAGTCGACATTCCGCTACAAAAGAGCGACAGTGCACAAGACTCACAGCTGTGGCCACTAGGATTGGGGTGCGTCCTGTACGGAAGGACCACAGGGCCTCTTCGCGCTCTCGCTGGGTCCGGTCCCCGTGGATGCTGGTCACTGGATAGCCCTCCTTGAGCAGGAAATGCTCCAGTGCATCTGCACCTTTCTTTGTCTCCACAAAGCTTAGGGTCAGGGAGTCCGATGCCGCCGCATCTAAAATTTAAGCACAGTGTTAGACATGTGTTTTAGATGCAAAACTGCTTTGAACATTTGCTCTGTCATCACACCTGCACAACCAGTGCTTCACATGATTGCCACACCTGTGCAACACTGAAATGACTACAAGTGCCATGCCAGGCGATTCACATTGAAACTACCACCAAGAGCTACCATTGTGCGTGAATTTAAATTTTGAAGACCAAATTTAGCAGTGCTGGAAGCCAATCAAATTCTTTTTGAATACAAAGTAACATTCCTTACAAATATGAAGTAGTGCTGTAAATAGTATTCAAAATTATCACGCTGAAATACAGATAGAGCTCTGGAAACTAACAAGCAGATCTTGCACGCTATCAACTCTCATGCTTGAAGCTTTAGCATATCAGTTTAACCTGGATATAACGAAATTGATAAATTGCCAGAAAAATTCGTTATAAAGAGGTCTTTGTTATATGCAGGTTTGGTACGAAAATTCGAAAAATAAACGTGCAAATTAAACAAAAGGGGGATTGAAGGCAGAGCTAACCCTAAACACCCATTTTACACTAAGAAACTGCATTATTATTGCGAGAGCAATTACATAGACACTTTCAGCGGGTTCTTGCTGTGGCCGCCATGTTCCGCAACAAGTCCAAATTGACAACCTTCCCCCACACATTGTAACTTTCACAAGCGGGTAAAAGGGCACGAGCGCTGCTGAAGCAGAGATCAAATGAGTCGGCCCATCCCTATCACCTGGAAAGTGCATAACATCTCCCACGTGTTAGAACTGTAATTGAATGCTGAAACAGAAAGTAAACCACCCGTCTTAAAACAAGCATGACACAACGTGGGGAGGGGGGAGAATCGCACGAGTAGTAATAACGAACTTGTACTTTAAGGTCCGGTTTCAACACAATGGGGCTGCTGAAAAGAGCAAACGCAATCGTTCCGGTCGAAGTCGAAGGCACACGATTCTCCCCAAGGAAGGATAAGCGCGCGCACACAAGCATCTAAGCCCCTCCTCTCCCCCTCCACATTCGCGGGGCAAAGTACGCGTCGCGTGGGAGATAAGCGCCCGTCCGCGCATCCTGACAGGCTGAGCGACGAGCATGGGCGACTTTTTATTTTTTTAATTTATATATATATATATATATATATATATATATATATATATATATATATAGGCACGTATACGTATACTATACATATTTGGGTGAATGAAGACGGTGGTGGCAAAAACCGAGCCGAAACTACCCATATACGTAATTGCTATCGCGAAAAAAAAAAAAAAAAAAAAAAAAACTAAGCTGGACTTCGTCGGGGGACACACCATGCTCGCGCAGTGAAACTATGCACGCGCGCATGGCGTCAAAAACGAGGAGCGATGGCACGGGCATTCGCACATGTGACCGTGGCGGCGAGAAAGGGGGCAACGCCGGCTCGTAAGGTGCAGGCCAGCCTGCCCGCCTCATGGAGATGCGGCCGCAGTGCTTGCCGCCACCGCTACGCGCTTCGGCGGCAGTGGCGGAAGATGCATGCTCATACGAAAATACCGAAATGCGGAGCGAAATTCCAAGATTGTCCGTGGAGAAAATTCGTTATACAGTCGAGCCCACATGTAACGACCCCATTTAAAACAAACTTTCGCTTAAAACGAACATCCGCGTGACCGTGAAAATATACATTGGTTCAATGCCACAAAATCACACAACGAACGGCACCGAGCGCCACCAATCGGTTACAGCGAACGGGGTCAGCGCTCAGCAGACTTCCCGGGAGACCACTTTCGACCACCGATCAGAGGTGCCCATAATTCTAATCGTTAAACGCCGACGCTGCCTCCGCGCCCCTCTAATTGCCGCTTTCCCCGACCGCTTTTTGTTACGCACCCCCTCTGTGTTTTGTCGTCCCGCTACTCTGAGCACCCCGCATTGCCAGACGAGGCCCGTGTTTTCACACTGCTACTGATCTTTCAGAGACCGGTCGGCCATATACCCTGTTTTTGATCGCTGGTACTGTCGCTGGCGTCGCCGGCCTGGAGTGACCAGATCATTTGCCAGCATCGTCTGCCACCGACTGTATCCAATCGTCTGCGTCTATTGCACACTCGTACGCTAACCCAACGACCCTGATAATTCGCGATTCGTGTTGTGGTTAGGGCCTGTTCTCCCTCACTTCACACTCTGCTCAGCATGCCCTCCGCAAGTGTGCGGAAGCCTGAAAACAGCTGTTAATTTGCGTGGAATGAATCGCCAAATATCGAAGTCGATGAAGCTACGCAAACCCACCGCGGTGATCCAGGAGTGCTATGACTTCAGCGCGCGGAGGCACTCTTTCAAGTTTTTTTCTATGCACGAGTTGCGCATTTCACGGACCTTTCAAGCAAGCTACCCGACCTACCTCTTTCCCGTGTGTTTTGGTTTTCAAGGTCCCCCTCCCGCCATGTTTTCCCCTCTCTTCACTCTATCGCAACTCCTTGCCCTTCTGTCGCAAATCTGCTTTCCTCTCTTGATCACGACCCTTCCGCCCATCTCCACCGCTACGCAACGCCAGCCACGCTTGCTCCAGTTAGTTTCGTTTTCCGACTAGAAATGTACCCAAGGCCGTTCCACGCGTCCTGGTGCCCAGGGCCGTTACACGCGTCTTGGCCTGTTTGTCGCGCGTGCACGTCTTGCTCGCTCTTCATGTGCGTGATCAGGATGGCAGACGGGAGGACTTGCAAGCTTTTTCCTGCTACAACAAAACGTCGAATGTGTGACCGCTTGGCTTGAGCATACCCGCGCGTTGTGGAGCGCTTGCTCATAGCTGTTGACCACCTGGCAGCCAACTTGCTGCTTCAGGCGTCCAGGTATTCGGTTGTGGACATGGTGAATATTTTGTGGGCGGCTGTGATGGCTACATGTGCGCGAAACTGTTTTTGCGAGGGCTACTTCGTCGACGTCGGGCCTCGATGCCGAACCTGAAGCTTCCGAAGAGGATCACTTCTGCAGCGATTTGTGGCAGCGCGCCATCGACTCAGACATGGGAGAGCGGGTGAAACATCTGTTGCGATAGTTTCATTACGGGCGATGATGATGCCGACACCGCGGAACCGTGCACGGATCAGAGCATTGTGAATGAAGTACGCAGCAAGAGCGATTTGGAGAAATCGAATTGCAAGAACGACAAAACTTTGGAGCCAGTCCCTCATGCAGCTTATGCCACGGGCCTCGACGAACAAGCACGCTGTAGTTTGAAATAAACTAGAGACCAGCCTTATCGATTCTGCTCTTCGAAACACGTGCATCACGGGCTTTTTTGAGTAAAAAAAGAAGTTTGCGCTTTCGCTCGACATTTTTTTAAACGCTGTGTTTCATTTACTACCAACTTCGGTATACAGCGAACGGATGCCGCGTCAGGCTCAGGTTCGTTACAAGCAGACTCGTTTGTATCAAGGTTGTGTCCCGCAGTTTGTTACATAGAGGTCGCAAATATATGTGCTTCTATGGAGCGACGGCAGAGAATAGAAAAACTTCGTCATATCCAGGAATTCATTATAAAGGTTCGTTATAAACAGGTTTGACTGTATACAGTCTACACATATATACAGCCTACAAACCCGCATACAACAAACTTTTGAAGTTCGGTCTGTGTAATTAAATTATTAGAGAAAAGTTTGCTTTCAACAAGACCGTGCTAAAATAGACTATGGGCCACAGCAAACAAAATGGCCAGCATTTTTTTTCCCCTTAAATTGGGCACGTATAGCCTACTTTTGCCTTGTTGACACGAGATGAGAACAGATGAGCACATTGCTGTCTGCGCACCGAGGCTATGACAATTTTACGCTGCAGCTAACAGCCAATCTAATCTGAGAGCCTGCTGCTCACACTAATGATTGTGGTGCAGATGACAATGTGGCCCTATGTGATCGCATTATTAAAAGCGCTCACCAATCTCTTATGACTAATTTATTTTCAAACTAAATGAAAATAAGAAGTTTTTGCTTGTGCTTTGCACGAAACATTCATCACTTCGCTGTAAGGCATCATGACTAAAGCTTTGAAAGTAAGACATTCTGGTGCTCTCAGCAGGTGACTTACACCATAAAATTAGAATAGTAATGCAGGAGTTGAGGCTGCGTGGGAATAGCACCTTCTTGCAATCAATAGGAAACCTCACAAGCAGATATATCTTCCAGTCTGCACAAATAAAGCTGTGGGAATAGCAAAATATTGGGTGTATGGCGAATTCGAACATTGAATTTCAAGCGGCAGCATCGTGGTGGCTGGGCGAGCTGTGGTGAAGCATCTCAATGGCGATCAACTTAGCGAGGTGTGAGCGTGGTGGCAGGAAGCGTGTCTCCGATGAACACACTGGTATTGCGATTCGGCCATGCTTTCTAGATGTGACAAGCCATCAAGAAATGGCGGAGTTGGCAGCGGAATTTCGCAGCAATCCTATGCAAGCTCCTTGTTCTTATCGGGTAGTACTCATGAAAACTTCGTAAGAGCAAAAATATCTAGGAAAAGTGTTTGTCGTCACAAGACATTTTTCCCATTGTTTTTTATGGGCGACAGACGGGGAATCGAAAATTATTCGTTGAAGCAAAATTTCGTTGTAGTAGACTTCTTTAGAGCGGGATTTGACTGTACATTAAAAAAAGGCTTTTTATTCAAAGACCGAGGTGGGGGGAGGGTCTAATATGCGAGTAAATATGGTATGTACACGGTTTGGAGCAACCAATGAGTTATCACTTTACATGTGAAAGGCAAAGATGCTATTTCCACAGTCCCCAACCCCTACCCCAAATAATAATAAAAAAAAACATTTAACTAGTGTCATATATGTGGGGCCATGCTGCATATGGGGGCGCTTTACCGAATAGTTTTCCGAGGCATTCGTGTCTGTGTCCATGTCGTTTGCTCTTTGTTTTCAACGTCATGCGCACGTGCATAGTTTCACTGCGCGTGCATGGTGTGGCACACACAGTAAAATTATATATATATATATATATATGATAGCTAAAGAAA